ACTTTTTCTTCTTTCTCTTCTTAATGACCTTTTGCTTTTTTCTTGTATGTTGTTCTTGATGTTATCCCACAACACTTCTGGTCTTAGGTAATTAGATTCATTAAATCTATTCTTGAGATGAACTCTAAATTCAAGTTGGATATGTTCAAGATCAGATTTTGGCTCTTGTAGACTTGTTTTCATTTTCTTCAGCTTCAGCCTGAACTTGCATATGAGCAATTGATGGTGTGTTCCACGGTCAGTCACTGGTCTTGTTTTGACTGATGATATGGAGATTTTCCACTGTCTCTTTCAGCAGTTGTATTCAAATTGATTTCTGTGTATTCAATCTGTTGCAGTTCATGTGTATAGTCATCTTTTATGTTGTTGAAAAAAGACATTTTCAATGAAGAAGCCATTGGTCTTGCAAAATTCTATCACTGAATTTTCAGCATCATTTCTATTACCAATGCCGTATTTCCCAATGACTGATTCATCTTCTTTGTTTCCAAACTTGATGTTCCAATTCCCAGTAATTATTGATACATCTTGATGGCTTGTTTAATCAATTTCGGACTAAAGAAGTTGGTAGAATTCTTCAGTTTCATGTAGCATAGTGGTTATGAATCGGGCTGCAAACCGCAAGGTCAGCAGTTCGAACCTATCAGCTGTTCCACAGGAGAAAGATGAGGCTTCCTGCTCCCATAAAGATTTACAGCCTCAGAAATCCAGTAAAGGGTTGCTATGGGTCGGAACCGACTCCACAGCCCATAACCACCACTACCACCTTGTTGTGTAAATTGATTGGTGTATAAAATTGAATAATAGTTGTATTAACTTGTCTTCTTTGCAGACATATGGATGTTATCCTATCACAGACTGTGTTGTACTTCAAGATAGATCTTAACATGTTCTTTTTGATGATGAATGTGATGCCATCTCTCTTTAGTTTCTCATTCTCAGCATAGTAAACCATATAGTTGTCATATTCGAAATGATCAATACCAGTCCATTTCAGCTCACAAATGCCTAGGATATTGATCTTTATGTGTTTCATTTCATTTTTGACAATTTCCAATTTTCCTAGATTCATACTTCATACATCCCATGCTCTGATTGTTAATCAATATTTGCAGCTGCTTCTCCTATCCTATTTAAATTATTTCAACCTGAGGAAATCAATTTTCTGGCACTATATCTGACAATATTCTGTGCTTTTCATCATGTTTTAATATTCAATAAGCTGTTGTTATATGACACTGTTCCACTGCTATTCATAAGATTTTCAGTGACTAAATATTTGGAAGTAGTCTGTCTCTCCTTCCTAGTCTGTATTAGTCTGGAATCTAATATGAAATGTGACCATCATGGGTGAACTTGCTGGTATTTGAAATACTGGTAGAATAGATTCCAGAATCACAGCAACATGCAAGCCACCACAGTACAGAAAACTCACAGACATGTGGTGGTTAACTTGTTATGTTCCATTAAGTTGGTTCTGACGCATAGCGATCACAAATGGTTTTAAATCAGGGAAGGTGTGCACCAGGGTTGTATTTTTTCAGCACACTTATTCAATCTGTATTATGAGCAAACAATTCAAGATGCTGGATTATATGAAGGAGAATATAGCATCAGGATAGGAGAAAAACTCATTAACAATCTGTGATATACAGATGATGTAACTTTGCTTCCTGAAAGTGAAGAAGACTTAAAATACTTACTGATAAAGATCAAAGCCTTCGGTATGAGTTGCACCTCAGTGTAAAGAAAACAAAATTCTCACCACTGGAACAATAACTTAATTTATGATAAATGAAGAAAAAAAATGAAGTTGTCAAAAGACTTCATTTTGCTTGGATCAGCTCTGGTAGCGTAGCAGTTATGAATCGGGCTGCAAACCTCAAGGTCGGCAGTTCGAAACTACCCAGCTGTTCCGTGGGAGAAATGTGATGCTTTCTGTTCCCATAAAGATTTACAGCCTCGGAAACCCTGCACAGGATGGCTATGAGTCGGAACCGACTCCGTGGTACATAACCACCACACCACCATCACACGCATGGAAGCAGCAGTCAAGCAATGAAATGACGTATTGCATTAAGCAAATTTTCTGCATAAGACCTTTCTAAAGTGTTTAAGAGCAAAGATGTCAGTTGGTGGACTAAGGAATGGCTGACCTAAGCCACGTTATTTTCAATACCCTTATATGTATGTGAAAATCATATAATGAATAAGGAAGACCATAGAAGCATTGATGCATTTGAGTTATGGTATTGGAGGAGAATGTTAAAAGTACAATGGACTGCCAGAAGAACAAACAAATATGTGTTGTATTAAGTGTTGCTGCAGGACAGGGCAGTGCTAATTTTATTTTGCCTAAGGTCACTATGAGTTAGAACCAACTCAATGGCACCTATTAGCGACATAGGTTTTCTGAGGGATGGCTGGTTTATTTGAACCACTGACCTTATGGTTAGCAGTCCAGTGTTAATACTATATAGTGCCCACACCAGGACTCCATAAATATTTTTACTTGTTATGTTTGTTTTTGTTATTTTCTATGGAATATTGTCCAAATTAAAATGAATACAATTAGTTTTGTAGGTGGGAAGAAATCTTATAGAGTCTCATTTAATAGCTTGTGTGTGTCTACTTAATTATATTTTCATAAAATAAATGCAACTGTTCACTTAAAATAGCAAATAATTAACTGAAGAAACAGATCATTGAAATAAAAATATTAATACAGTGTGTTCAGTACATCATTAGAATTATATCAGGTTCAAGCTGGATTCAGAAGAGGCTGTGGAATGAAGGATATCATTGCTGATGTTCAATGGGTATTGGCTGAAAGGAGAGAATATCAGAAAGATGTTTACCTGTGCTTTATTGACCATGCAAAGGCTTTGGATTGTGTGGATCATGACAAGCTATGGACAGCATTGCAAAGTATGAGTATTCTGGAACATTTAATTGTGCTCATGAGGAATCTGTACATGGATCAAGAGGCAGTTGTTTGAACAGAACATAGGAACACTGAACGGTTTAAAATTAAGAAAGGTGTGCGAGAGGGTTGTATTCTTTCACCATACTTATTCAACATGTATGCTGAGCAAATAATCTGAGAACCTGGGTTATATTTAAAAAAATGTGGCAGCTGTATTGGAGGAAGTCACATTTACAACCTGCAATATGCAGATGATATAACCTTGCTCACTGAAAGTGAAGAGGACTTAAAATATTTACTAATGAAGATCAAAGAGCACAGCCTTCAGTATGGATTGAATTTCAATGTAAATAAAACTAAAATTCTCACCACTGAACAAATAAACAACATTCTTATCAACAGAGAAAAGATTGAAGTTGTCAAAGACTTC